TAATTTTTATTTTAGGATAACTATATTTAATAATCGGGGTGAGAGAGAGAGAGAGAGAGAGAGAGAGAGAGGATTAAGAAATATATGCATAGTTTCCTTAATGAACTAGTATTTGAATCCCACTTAAAAACACAGTTAATACCTGTTCTATACAGTAAAACCTCTCTATATAAAACAATTGCAAATAGGCTTATTATATTGTTTCTGTTTAATCAAAGATACAAATTAACATAAAAATAAATTAATTGTTTTTCATACATTATATATTTTCAATATATCTAGATCACTCGTAGATGTATTACCAAGTAGATTTAGTAATAAATAAAATTGTTCTTCCTGTAATTGTGCGAAACAAACTTATCCGGTTATCTTACTATATAAATGGCACATCTCTATGGGATTCAATGTTTTTTGTGTGAATATCATTGAAAAAATATCATAATTTTTTACCTTAATTTTTTATGTATGCGCATTACAACTACAGACAGACAATACGTGTATGTATTTGCTGTACAAATGTCTGGCAATTATTAATTTGATTTATTTTCCGGTTGTTCAATAAATTAAAAATAAAATAATTAATAATTTCTGTGTATTATTAAAAGTGTTATATTATTATATTTGGTATTTTAAATACCATACTAAATTATCATACTAATATTATTCAATTACACGTAAGTAAATAAATGTAAATTAATAAATAGTATCTATGTTATAAAAATATAAAAATAAAAATCTATATATAAAAATCTAATATAAATAAACTGTAAATATAAATTTATAGAACATATGTAATTAATCATTATTATATAAAACTTTAGTTTTGGGGAGGTATGGCACGAGGTTATATATTTTTATATATTTTATATTTTAATTGTTTTATTATTATTATTATTATTATTATAGCAAAATGGACTGGTTCAATAACATGAAATCATCAATCATAATTATTATAATTATTGGTTTAATAAACACCACGTTTTGTTCACCAATGAACAGGCATACGCGTACCGATAATATATCAACAAACAATATAATAAATAAGTTATTAAGCGCAATCAAAAACAACAAAAATACACTTGATAATACTATTGATGAAGATAAACCTTTCCCAAAATTTATATTTAATAATAATAATAAATTATATAATAATATACCAGATAAACTGCCAAATTCAATGTTGTTTAGTGGTAGAGGCATACCAGTGCTACCTAGTGTCGGTAGTATAGGCATACCGGTGCCTGATTTTAAATTACCCGATTATGTTAATCTGGGTATAAATCCATTGGAATGAGTTGTTATTAATCATATTTAATACACTATAATTTAATTTGTATATTTATTTAATTTCACATAAATCATAATTGCAATATAAAATTATGTTTATTAAAAATATGTAAACATTGTAATTTAAAAAACATAATTATTTGATAAAAATAAATTTTATATTTTAATAATTTATTTTTAACATTTTTAAATCAAAATTAGTAATTGTAATCTTTTGGTAATAAATTACAAAAATTTAGATCGGTAATAGCAAACTGTAAATTTTACTATGTTACTTGAATTAAACACTAGTTTGTTTTAAAATGAGTTATATTTGGATCAAAAACATGGAGCCTTTTTATTATTAGTTATTAATATTTCAAACAGCTCTCTCTCTCTCTCTCTCTCTCTCACTCTTCAGTAAATAATCCGAAAGTAATTTAAATTTTGTGTTAATGATTTTAATAATTTATTTATTTAATTTAAATATCTATAATAAAACACAACTCTAATGAACATGATTGGGAAATACTTTTATTTGACAGTGCAAGGGCAATTTATTGTAAAGTTCCCAATGAGTTAATTTATTTAATAAAACGTCACATTTTGGTTTACGTGTATTTGTATATACATTACAAATTACCTTGTTATTGAATTTCTAGAAAAACTCTGTATGAAAACTTATTAATTATGGCCTATTGTGTAAAATACCCTAACCCATTTGACTCGTACATGCAGACATAGATAATAAATATGTTACACATTACAATATCGTTAGGTTAAATAACTTAATTAATTATTTAGTTAACTAACATCTAACTCAAACAGATGTGGGACACAATTTGCGTCAAAGTAGCACTATGATAAATGTACCAGTAGCTTATTACGTTTAAATTCTACTAAATAGCATTGATCGGAATAATTATAAATAAAATTAATATAAAACGCAACATACAGTGTTACCAATTACAAAAATCTAAACCACCATGCAACACATCAGTCTACTAGTTGCCGTAATTGTGGTACTTTGCGGTACCGTATGTTTGGCACAAAACTACGTTAGCCTATTTGCGGCACCTGAAAACTTGCCTGACGTAGTAAACAAGGTGGTTAATCATGATCTCGAGACCAGAGATTACGACCTAGATGATATTTTGGATGGCGGTGATACCGAGGTCGTGGGTAAACGAAGTTTGGGCTTTAATGTTGTAAAGTTGGCCGAGGTAATTTTGGATGACCCTGACGACACAGAGGTGGTGGGCAAACGTAGCTTGATTGCCAAACGTGACCAAGATTACTCGTGTGGCGACTCTACCGAGGTGGCCGGCTAAATGTTGAGCTACTTGTTTACTATATGCTTAATTATTTGCTTTAATTATGTTTTTGTATATGCTTTAATAATTTTGTTTTTGCGCTTGACAAAAACTTGCTTGTTTAAAATTATTTGATTAATTTTTAATGTAATTGTTTTATGCTTTTATTAAAAGTATATATAGTTTTATTGCTTTTATTTGCTGAAAGTATTGTTGATATTTATTTAATTATGTTATAGAGTTTTATTTATATTAATAAGCTTGATTACATGTTTATAAATGTAAAATAAAATTTATTCTTATGATATTATTTATTACATGTACATTTAGTTCACTATTTAATAAATGTAAAGTATAGAAATAAAATATAGTATTCATATTATTTGCTATTATATAAAATATATAAATGACAAAATACAGAAAGAAATTAGACAGTTCCATGTACATTTTATTTATTATAATTAGCATGTGGTTTAAAATCAGAATTTTAGTCTCTCTCTCAGATTTAAAACACATGCTATAATCACATGAGATTATAAATATTAATGTTGGTAAATTCCCTTATGATTTAACCGACATTTAAACGACCAATACATACATTTATGAGATGTTTTTGTGCACCTATTGATAATCATATATAAAATATAAATGCAGTACAATTAGTACAGAGTATAAAAAATAATCAAATAAAATTCACAAACATTTAACAGCATGCTCAATTCAATTGTCAATCAAATCATAAGCTATCATGTAGTTTCATTATGAAAAATACAATTTTATACCATGCATATACACTATATTTATTTAACTTTAGATATAATTATAATACAATTAAACTTCAATCAAATCCTATAGATGTGGGTATAGTGTCTGACAAAGGAATAGGGGAGGGAATGGCAATGACAGTGAAAGTGAACATGTTAAATGTTATAATACTTGTTATTTAATCGAGTTGTTATTTTTGTTTTTAAGAATTAACAATGGACCATGATTAGGATAACTCTTTTGACAATATAATAGCCAGGTTGACAGATGATTGATACAACGCATACAGTCATACCCCGTTAATAAATATGATTTATAAATTAAACCCTGAGTAATAATAATTGTTTTATTTAATTGCTAGTTTGTTAATTAAGCATAGTAAAATTTTTTAGTAATACATTATTTAAAAATTAAAACCTAATAAAAAACATTTAGCTAAAAGTTTTAAATAAAATCTATTTATTACTTTATCTACTCTTACATATAAATACTAAACAAAATTTCACCGTATTTGTAACTTTACAAAAATTTTACCAACCAAAAATTTTAGATATATAATTGATGTGTACAAATGTAGGGGTATACATTCTTACAAAAGTTCCCTTGTTGAAACCATCACATAAATCTTTGCTTTGTCCTATTAACATACATATAATTTAAATCATGTTTTTGAAAATCACCTCGATAGTGGCTGTACTGTTAGCACTGTGGACGATAGCCTACGGTCAAGACTGTAGCCCAAAAGGTATGAAACGGTTTGATATAACAATGGCCCGATTGGTTACGATTGCCAACTCTGGCCGTAAGTTTCCCGAAGCTAAAGGAACAGAAATGAAAAAGTGGTGCGAGTAAGTATTTCATAATTATTATTGTTTAATAACTAAGGTTATGTATTAAATAAACATTATAACATTTAATATATGACATGTACATTATTCAGTATATTCTACTAAATAAGGTGTTTATTAATAATTTTTATTAAATGATTATAATTAGTGAATCCGATGTACTGACCAAAGAACTGGAGACATACAAACAAAAATGCTTCAAAGATTTGAGCAAGCAAGTGTTTGGCGTAATGATCTACTCCATCAAAAATACATTAAGGTCGTACTGTAAAGCGGGTAAAAAGCAGGACTCTCTACTTAAGGCCACCCCATGTCTCAACCATAACGACCCGTTGGTTACCAAATGCTACACCAGTTTTATAGACGGCCTGTTGGGCGCACAGAATGCCAACGACACCAAAAAGATACCGTATTTGTGCTGGTATGTTTTTTATATAATAATTTAACATAGATTTTTATTATTAACATTGTATATATTATGGTATTTTAATTGTTAGCTTGGATATTAGATTTATAAGCTAATATTTACAAAATTATGTCTATCTTCTTCTATACCCATATTTAAGAAATAATAAATTAAAACATGATTACTTTGCCTAAGTTAGAAATAATTACAGTTGTAGTTGATATATTAAATTAATGATTTTTTGTACGGTCTACGTAATTAAGTAACGTAAATAAACTAATTTACAGTTTTACTAACCATAATAAATTATTTTTATTAAATACAAGCATAAAGTGTCTAAAGTTATACACAAAATATATTTAAATTTAATTAATACTGTCATAATAATCTAAATAAAATTAATTAATATTAATGATCTAATACAATATTTCAGCGAGTACGTTAGAATATTTCCGTGTTTCGACGAGAAACTGTCGCCGGCGCCCAAATGCAATCAAAAAGGCATCGATTTTGTCAGCGATTTGATCCGTAGTATAGCCGGCAATGTTGTCGACTTGATTTGTGGCGACTATGTAGAGGGCTCGGATAAATGCACTCACCTAGGTAATTATTATAAAGATTTAAATCACTTAATATTGGGCCTCAAGTATAATCTATAAATTAAATATTTATATTTATTACCGTAAAACTAATGTACGTTGAAACTTTGCATCATATTTTTTACCAAGATAATTTGTATTTTATTGACAGGTCCGCCGCCTAAGAAATCTAAAAAACAGCGCCGTTTGAAGTCATTCGCTGTGCCGGTGCTCGACCTCTTGTCCTCTTTCCCAGAGGTGTGATGATCAGGGTCATTAAATGTTTTTTGTATTTTTTTTATTAATGCTAACTGTATTTAATGTGTTGTATTTGTGTTTGGTCAAATAAAATAATTTTGCACAATGTTGAAAAATATTTATTTGCTGAATATAGTTGTTTATTTATATGGTAGGTAACTATTATTACAACATTCTGTTTATATGATTGGGAATACCCTGATGAATATTTTTTATTAAAATGAAAAATACAATCAAGGCCATTTGAATTAAGAAATATTATTATAGTTGTATTATAGAATCATTTTCAAAAACTTTTAAAATTTAAAAATATACAAAAAACAATATTTATAAAAACAATTTGTTATAAAACAATTTAATTACTACTATTGGCACTGGATTTGATTATTAATTGACTAGTAGAATCTAATATTAGCTATTAATGTAACTTGCCATACAACGTAAATAATTAGTAAAGAAATTAATAGTGAGACTTTAAATATTATGCTAAAAATATTCATTTAAAATATTACGATGTTTTATTTTTAATAGGATTGTATTTGATAAATGTATATTGATAATTTACGAAATAAAAATTCTATATTATATATATTTAATGATACATAAACTCGTCTTAAAATTCAAATCCTAATATGATTGCACGATGGTCACAAATTTTAAAATTAATTAAATTAATTTTATAAAATAAACACTTTGCAAAATTAATTACATAATGTAGTATACAAATGCTTTTTTAAATATATAGTTTTATATAACAATAAGTGTACCAATCAGGCACAAATTTATCATGCTACAATTCCCTCAAAAATTTAGAATTAATTTAATAGTTAAAGAAATAATAACAAAAACATTAATATAGCCTTCGTCCCATAAAACTATTTAAACAAATATCACTCATTTTACAACACTTATTGTTATAATTATTTACAGTTTTTAAAAGTATTATATATTTTATATAAACACAATATTTTTAATTTAATTTCATTATAATATATTGGATTTTATCAAGTTTTTAAAGTATAAATTTTAAATAAATACTATTAAATACTACTTAAATATACTATTTTATTGTTATATAAAATCAATTAAATTAATTAAATTTAACACAATTTATTTAATATAAACTAAAATAAAATGTTAGCATGTTACGGGAACTAATCAATTGCAATAGTCGAGATTGATGAGTACAAATATAAATGTTTCACCAGGATGCAGAAATATAATTGTAAAATATAATTAATATATGTAAATAGGAACTTGTATTTTTGAGCCAAGTCTTAATAATGAATTAATTATACTGTTATAAGTCTTTGTTTATGACACAGATTGCTAAACATTCCTGCCTCAGTCGAGATTAACTCTAGGACATTATTAATTATTGTAAAGGTTACAATCTGAATAAATGTAATTTATACAAGGTATATAAATCATGTTTCTTCTCATTAACCGAGAGATTAAATTAAATGCAAATAAATCAAAACTACTTTCACTTTAACTAAAATTGATTGCAATGTTTTTAAAATAGTTTTTTGAACCACTATTTTAAAATTTAAATGATACAAAAGAAACTTTCCATTAATACAGTAATTGAAACACACATTAATTCAATGTTAAACATTAGGGAGTCTAATGACTCTCTCTCTCTCTCTCTCCCCACTAGTGATGAGCACTGGAATGATCTCTCAATGATATACCACTAGAATATAGCCAAACAAAAAGGTAAATAATTCAGTGCTTAAATGCCATTGAGCACTTTTACATTTATATTTTGATAAGTCAACCAGTTTATTTATTTTTGACTTATTTACAAATAAAACACTTTGTGAGTTATTATTTTGGCGCATTTTAGCTACACGCGTTAATTAATCAACCAACTACTCATCGTGATTAACAATATAAATTATATAGATTATTTGTTGTGCGATTTTTATACATGAACATAATGCTGACAGTAAGATTCATGCTAATATTATTTGTAATATTAGCGAGTACATTTTTAATAAATTACGCCCACGCTCAAACGTGCAATGCAAAAACGTTGCGCAAAGTGGACTTGAGTGTAGCCCGTATTATTACCATCGGTAATTCTGGCCGCCAATTCCCCGAACAAAAAGGGACCGAGTTGAAAAAGTATTGCTCGTAAGTATATTTTTAATTTTGTTATAAATGATGAAATTGTTATTGTTTTAAACAAACTGTAAAATAAGTATTATTTATAAATGATATTGATTTAAATGTTGTTAGATATATAATTTTGGACACAAATCAAACGTGCCTTTTTTAATACTATTTTAATTTAAAACTGTATTGTAAAATAACTTTATGATATATTATATGCATTTTAACTTAAATCAATATATATGGCTATAATCTTATAAACATATTTATTTTAATTGAATATTGATATTTTTTAAGCCAAAACGCCGCTTATTTAAAAGAGATTGAACGATATAAAGGCAAGTGTATGAAAGGATTGAGCAAACAAATTGCATCGATATTAATCTATTCGATAAAGGTACAATTTATCAAATTAAATTTACTAGTTGATTTTGTATTCATGTAAATTATCAAAATTAAATTGTTATTTATTACAGAACTCAATCGCACAGCTATGCAATAAGGATTCAAAAAAGTTGAACGAGCTAATAGCCAGTACAAAATGCATAAATACTGCCACACCTGAAATCAATAAATGCTATACTAATCTCATAGACAGTATACAGGGTATTGTTAATGCAGATCCCAATAAAAAGATACCACACGTGTGCTGGTAAGTATAATATTATCGAGATTAGTTTTATTTATTTATTTTTGTTATAGAATTTATCATTTTATTTTATAATAGTTTGATAATTTATAATTTTATTGTTATATTTTGCATGATCAGTGAATATTACCGTATTTTCCCGTGCATAATCACCAAGACCAAACGCATACCGGTTTGCACCGAACAACACGTGGACACAGCTATGAATTTTGTGCGCTCGATGTTAGGCAACGCCATTGACTTATTATGCAGTGAATACAGTGAAGGTATGTTAATATTTATTAATTTATATCATCTCCTGGCTATGACCCCTAAACATACCAAGGGAAGGTTGTATATTATAATATAAATGTACTAGTTAACACTATTTAACGCTATTAAATCTATATATACCATAGTCAGGAGCTGTCTGTAACATTAGCAAAATTAAATTGGCTTGTCACATTAAATGCCAATGTCACGGACTTCAATATTATTTATATTAACTTGAAATTTATTTAATGCATATTTATATTAATTATTTATTTAATTATATTACAGGAAGCGATAAGTGCGATACGTTGGGTCGACCACCCCGTAAATTAAAACACCAACGTCGGACAAAATCATTTTTAATACCCTTACTGGATATGTTTGATTCATTTCCTGAAGTGTAGCATGGTGTTTTATATTTTAAAAATAAAATGACTCATTTAAAATTTTCTATATAAACAAATATAATTTAATTATTTTAATATTATTTAATAACAATAATAAATATAATTGTTTCAATAACAATCCAAATAATGAAATAAACAATATTATTTTAACTAATTAAACAAACCTATTCTAAAATCTATTATAGTATAAACTGTAAATAATGTAAAAACACACCAAATATTGTAATTAACAATATTTAAGTCTATGTTTTTTGGTATTTCTCATATATTTCTGTCTATATTTTAATATTACTCAAATTTAAGTGACATTTTAATTGACTTCTTGACTTAAGTAAATAATTACCATAATAGCATAACATGTTTAGTTGAAAACAATATTTCTTTACATAATATTGTTAATATAATAATAAAAATATTTGTTATTTAAGTTTTTATAGTGAACACATAATTTCGAAAATTACATTTATTATACGTAAATAAAAAATAAAATTTCCAAAAAATTGTCAAAATTAATAATAAAAATTATTCTCTTTGTCAATGTATCAATATTTATAAGCAACATTACCTTGAAGATAAATCATATTCGCATGTTAATTAATATAGATTAAATGCGTTGACATTAATTATCTAGTTATAAATTCAAATCATGTGCACATTTGTGACACTG